TGTTTCAAGGGCGGTTACGAAATCCGCCAGAGTCCTTTGTTCAATTAGAAACCTGCAACACGACCCGAATCCGACCCGATCCTAGGGTCGGGCCGGGTTCGGGTTGGATATTTGGCGACGCAATTTAAAATATAAATAATATGTTTAGCTTTGTATTACTGATTGAAAGTTATCTCTACTGGAATTTCCAGTTGAAAGACTTGTTTCAGAACAACTGCATTCACTAAGTCGATTAATGATTGCTTTCTTTGCACATAAGAGAGTGCTTCCTGCACTGAAATCAATGGCAATACATCCCTTACTGCTTTTTTTCAATGTACTGTTTTAAACACCCGTACATAGAAGACTTTACTATAATGCTCTCTACTTGCTATCTTAGTATTAGGTGATACTGACTGACCAATGAGAAAAAGAATGTGGTCATCATCTCGGTTAAGATAATCTATTGACAAAGTGTACTGAGGAATTTTCAATAGATTAACCTTTTAGACAAAATGACCAATCAGACGTCGTTCAAAAATTTTTTTTTGAACTACGAGATCTTACAATATGCACCGAAAAACTTTTGTCTAACAACGCAAGTCTATATTCTTTCTCAAACATAGTTTTCTGGTGAGATTGTTTTCATCGGGTCGGATCGGGTGCGGGTCGGCATTTTGGCAGTCGGTCGGGTTCGGGTTAGGTGTTCTTAACCCGTGCAGGTCTCTATGTTCAGGTCTCTCGTTTTGCTTATGAAAATATAGGTTAAACTGTCCTCTTTCCACTGCCGAAAATCGCAAGTCCCTACATTTCACTGTCTTTGAGTTATTCAGAAAATAACTACCGTTCTTATATTTTCGGACGGTCAGTAGTGTTTTTTAAAAACCTTGCCACAGATTGTCGCTTAACGAACCACGATGGAGAAAAGTTTTTGCTGACAACTGCGTTTTAAGTTTTTTAATAATTTTAAATTCTTCAATTTGATTTTTCTCAAAATTTTTGCGTTACACTGAAAACAATTTTATACTCAGTATCCCAGTTGGCACCTAAGGAAGAGTTTTGTCAGCAAAACGTTTTCTCTATCGTGCTTCGCTAAGCCATAATCTGTAGCAAGGTTCTTAAAAAATATTTGTTTTCTGAAAAATCGACATTTTAAGAAAAAACAAAATTTTCGTTAATCGAACTTCATTCAAACTTGCAATAATTTCAGCATAGGCACTTCGATCTTATTGATCGATCGCAGCGAGTCGTAGCGTTAGGACACGCTTCTTCAATGAACAGTGAACTTTTTAGTAAAAAACCTCTTTAATTTCTGTAAACTTTTAAAAGTTAAAAAAAATGGAAAGAATGGGCCTGAGAGGTTCAGACGTATCACCATATATGTAAGTCGATATGGGCAACAAAACCGATGTAAAAAACCAGGTGAGGTCCGCCGCCGCATAACAGAGTTATGAATTTTTTAATTTTTCCGTGTTTTCGTAGGAAAAAGTAGAAAAACCGCTCTAACTTTTGAAGGATGAGTCATCGGCCGAAATCCTTTTAGGCTTTTTACTACCTTGATATACTCTATCGATCGAGGTATAAATTACTAGAAACAGACGGGATCACTTTTATAGGTTTCCTTGTAAGTGACTTAAGAGCAGAAATAATTATGACACATGGCAGGAAATGTTCAGCATATCAAAATTTGATGGTTTTTTTTTAGAGATACGTTCATCATGTTCTCAAAATATCTAGTTTAAACGTTAAAAGCTCCAAAAGTGCAAGAAAAATATGTTTTAGACTTCGAAAATTTTCCTCGCTTATTTGCATGGGAATGAATTATTATCCTGCTGATAAAAGACAAACGGCAAAAAAAGACCAAGAAAATGTGAGTCAGCTTTTTCTTCTTTATCTTCATCTTCACCATCATCATCTTTATCTTTCTCCTCTCATAGGCACTGTATATTCACTCCAAACGGAATGAATGTACCTTTTCCCTAAAGACTAAACAGTCACTGAACTGAATCCACAAAATCCCGCGACGCCCATGAAAGGATTGTCTGATGCAATGAAAAAGTCTTTTCTGCAGAATCACATTTCAAACCCCGCTTTGTTTCTCTAATCAAGAAGAAATTATACAACGATCGGTTAAAATATGGCTTGAATGTGTTGACCTCATGAATATAGTCAAACAAATATTCGTGTAATCTATTCCCCTCTGTGTACGCATAATTTCAAATGTATTCAGCTGACAAGTATTTACCTGACGTAGAAAAAAACCCTTTCAATCTTTTTATCTAACAAAAACTACTCAGACATTTTTTTGATCAAGAAACAAACTCACAAACGTGCTTCGATCAAAACAAACAATCAATAGTTTGTGTTTAACATGGCAGAGAAAAAGCATGCAGTTTTCATTTGTGAAAAATAAAGTTACAAATAAACAGTTCCTATTTATGTCACGAGAAGAAAAACGACACTATGAAAAAAATTCTCGAATAGAAAACGAATATCACTTAGTGGTGGTTCAATTTATTCCGGACAAAGAAAAACATCAAAAAAAGCTCATATGCACATCGGTTTCAAAGTATAAAGTTCGTCACTGATTTCTGAATATATCGAGAACGAAACGCGCTAGAAAGTTTGACTTTCCAGTATTTGGAAGTCAAGACTTTGATGCATCTTTTTATAAAACAATAAGTTTGAAAGTCTACCTGTGAATTAGAATTTAGAATAATCTTTCGAGAACTGATTTAACACTTATCATAGAAATATGTTGGAATCTTTTTATAAATAGATAGCTAGAAGTGCCCTCTTCGAAATGGGAGTCAAGTGAGACCTTCACTCTCCATCGTTTAAGCATGGCATCAGAGAAGACCTCGAGTTACCCGTATACGAAACTCGTGTATACGGGTAATTCAATGTCTGGACCGTCTGAAACAATAAGGATCTCTTTCTTCTCCTTTCTAGACAAATGTTAGCAAATGTCTGATAAATAATCATCACATGTACGAATCGAGTTCAATGTTTCTCGCTCATTTTTTATTCAAATTAAAACCAAATCTTGGTGTTAAATTCACCAGAATTCTATCTAGTCGGATATGTAAAATAGCTTAAGACTTCCACAGTGAAATCCTGCAGCGGATACGATCAACGCCAACACAATGTTCTCCCATCCGAACAAACATGCATATATATATATACCATTGACTTTAATCGTATCCTCCAAATACTGAAAAGTCAAACTTTCGAGCGCGTTTCGTTCTAGAGATATTCAGAAATCAGTGACGAACTTTATACTTAGAATATATTGAACCACCACTTACTGGAGCCCTGTTTGCCTTGTTGGTCCCATAGTTCGTGTTCCGTTGGCCTTCGTGTGTATTTCAATGTTGGTCACCGAATTCTTCATCTAATTTCCTGGAACATTCAGAAATGACAAGAAAATAGTAGATGGGAGAGAAAGGGAAAAACATCGAGACTTCTTGATTTCAAGAAATGTGTAACTGTCATACTTCCAACTCATGAGTCATATATCTAACGGAAAAATAAAGGATTTTAAAGAAAGAATCTTTTGTAGACAATACGAAACAAGTGAGAAAGTTATAGCCCATTTGTTCCTCATGCCACCATTGTTCTCTCGTGTCAGGAATACGACGTTCCGATCAGGCAAAAGGGTTTTTTTGATTTTTCGTTAGTCACAGATAAGAACTTATGAGGATAAATAAAAACTTACTTTAATTACTTTTCTATTCGATTAAGTTTTGTGGATCGTGGATGACTGCTGTTGCTTGTGTGTGCTGTTATCGGTGGTTGTCTTCGTCGTTAAACATAGGTGTCGAAATTTCGTTGTGTAAAATTTGACACATAAGTGATCGTGGCTGGTCGTTCACGTGGTGTTGATGTAGGAGTGTCGTGTGATGATGATTATGTTGACTGATTTATTGAACGACTATGATGTGGTGTGGACGACAAAGAAATGGTAGATCGACAACGTTGACCTATCGAAGAGGTTGTCGTTGACAATGAACTTCTTGATCGATCTTCTCGTCGTGACGACGTTGATATAGCCGGTACTGAAAAGGACTAAAGAAGAAGGTAAATAACAGAGCCATAGCAAATAAGTAATGTTACACTAGATTCACATTGTATGTCTTTGTTTCTTTCTTTTCTGTGCATTAGACAGGAAAGAGAAAAATAGAAAAGATCCCTCAGTTTGTCAGTGAACCACGCCTGATCACAAGACCAAATAGTGATTGTTGATGAATATAAGATCCAAAAAGATATTTGATTCTGATTTAGTTACTTTCATCACCATCTGTGAAAGACCATTATTTAGAGTAAAATCATAAAGACAGTTACCGTCCAACGTTGATTTGTCGGACACCATTAGGCAAAATGCCCATTAAAGTCACCTAAAAGCATGATGCCCTCTTGAGCCCAATGAGTGTTCCTTATTTTCTCTGAAACATTACTCCCATGTTCCGCAAACTGAGACATAGGCGACAGTTCGATAACAAACACCCAAAATAAAATTTTTGCAATGATGGTAGACTAATGTTAAAGTAGCACGTTTCAAATTCAATATCTTCTAAGTAGAACAAGCGTTTAACTTTGACATCTTTCCTGGTATATAACATGACGCTACCTCCCCTCGTCAATCCATCTTTACGATAAGATTCATAGCCTGATACTGTAAAAACATTGTTGAGGTATGAAGCGCTCAATCAAGTTTCTGTTACAGCAGTTATTATTGATTTAGTTGATGAAATATAAGCTTGTAAAAGATCAAACTTAGTCACATAATCGGTAACTTTTGCCGTCATACTGTTGCGATTAAAAAAGAGCATTCGTGCTAAGTCAGCCCGATTTTTTTATTTTGCAAACATTTTCAAACTGAGCATTGTCACACTGATAGCAACGATGAAGTCCGCGTGTAGCTCTCTGTACTCTCCTTTCCTCGGTCAAACGTAGTAACAACAACAAGTACTAAAACTGACTGTTCACATACTTGAATAAGAGTTTCTTCCTTATCATCTTCAGTCCTCATCTTCCTTTCCATCTATAGATGAATTAACATGACCAGTCGAGTTTAAACAAATACGTTTAATTCCATCATTGTACATGACCAGTTCGTTCCACATGTACACTTGTTTCTTTTCTACTTTTAATCGTGCATATTTAAATATAGTTAAATTCGTCAATGCTAAATCCTCACTTATCGATATGTTTCTGTCTAGCTGTTTCTTGTTAATGGGAATGAACTGACGGGTACGCCAATGAACAAAACGCACGACAGTAGCACGACATTTTCTGCCATTCTTATTACGACCAATACGATGACTAACACTAATGTGTTCGTCAGGTATAACAACATCGATCGATGCACATATCCCGATGACAGTTTGATCCGTATTTTTTTGAGGTTCTTTTTTAACACCATAAATACGTAGATTTGGGAGCTGATTATAAGCTGCTAAATCATCTAATAAAGCCTGAAGTTCATCGACTCGTTTTTCAAGGGCATTAATTTTTTTCGAATGGTTTGGTGGCTTCACGAACAAGTTTTGATACACCACTTAACATTGCGTCCGATTTCAATACTTGCTTGATAACCCATGTCATTAAAACCGCTAAAGTACCGGATGGTTACCGCCGATATACCACTTGGTATCATGTGAGGTATACCGCCAGCAAAACGCAAAAATACCACACGATACCGAGGTTAATCCCTGGTAAACCGTCGGTATATCGACGGTAATAGGCGGTGTTTCTTACTGAATTTGATAGCCTGCCCGACCACATCCGAGGTTCGATCCTCGCCCGCAAGTATTCTGTTTTTATTTTTTCTACATGATTTACCATTGCTACATATAAAAAAATTATAGAAGAAACAAATCTGTTCATGTTTAGTAATCAAATACAACCAAAAATCTATCGAAAACCAAAACTCCGCTGGATACCAAATAATTTCACATGCCATTCATTATTTTTACTGTTATTCGTCCAGTTAGTTATCGACTGTTTCTTCTGACGCCGCAAATCCTTCCATTGCTTCAGTGGCCTCAACCGGATCGTTTCGCTTTGGACTATAAAGAGATTGTAGATTCAAGACCACATCTTTTTAATCGTGGTGTACAGGATCGTTTTTCTCGTTTAGGGGTTGATGGTTGTTGACTATAAATTTTAATCAAATTACGTCTTTTTTGCAAGAAACATTCATGTAGACGTGGCGATTCAGCAGCTAATTGTTTTTTATTCAATTTGAAGCGAGATCTAACCGCTTCTAGAACAAACGAATATAAAAAAGAAGCAGTTAGTAAGAGTAAAAAATTGATGATTAAGTTAACAGAGGCTAGCATTGATTGTTAGTTCTTCGCTAAAGCTCAGCGATAGTGAAAGGAGAGAGAGCCTCAGTAGCAGTTACACTACGCTACAACTAACCTTTAATCAACTGATAACCAGAGTCTTCTACAACCTGAAAACTATCCAGCTTAACTATTTGATTGGCATCAATATAAACAATATCCATTATTAATGTGACGTATAAAATTAAATGATTTCGATCAGCTCCCGCTGTTAACAAATTTATTTGCTGTCCATTACGTTCAACGAACTAGAATAATTAGAAAAACAGTTAGATGTTTAAAAATACAGGGTCGGAAAAAATGTTTTTCCAGGGGGGTACCGCTCAAACTACAAATGATATCACAGAGTATTATATACCAAATTAATGCCCAGTAAAAATGAAATTTATGAGCATAATCGATAGCCCATACAACGGTTGCTGGCTATTGAATTATGAAAATCTCTTGACACCTATGGTTGAACGCGCTCGTGTTTTACGATTTTCATTCTTCCGGTACATATTTTGACAAAAATAATAGCAGATTCGTGATCTCCATCAAAAACTGCATCTATAGACATGTCATTTGTATATTTTTGACGAAAAACAAGTTTTCCAAAAAAAGACCCGGTTTTCAGAAAAACTAGTTTTTAAAAAACTCTAAAAAATAACCAAAGCCTTTCTTAATGAGACATGATTGTAGCCCGCAAATTTCTGATTAAAATGAGACGTCTCCCAGCTCTACATGGCCTTTCTTTGCAATTTTTTAGGCGATAATACTCATAAATTTCATTTTTATTGGGCATTAATTTGGCATATAATACTCTGTGATATCATTTGTAGTTTGAGCGGTACCCGGGTACAATATCGTTTACAAAACAATATCAAATTTTATTGTACCTTGAGCTTTTGAAAGCGATGATGTATTATTTCCATTGTGATTGGAAGACGGACAAATACTGGAAGATGATGTGGACGACACATCTTTTTCTTGTGCATTTGAACGACGTTCAAATGGTATATCACAAAGACTGGTAATTCTTGTCTCTCCTGTGAAAACAGAAAGCAGATAACCTAATGTAAATCTAAAAGACTCACGAAAGTCTGTTTACACTTTTCAACCTTCAGGAGCACATTGACCAGATTGTTGTTTCAGTGGAATTGATGCCACCTGATTTTGTTTTTTAACAGTTGCTGTTTCACGTGATTGTTGCGATAGAGCAATATCAAGATCTGATTCAACGTCGGTATTTTGTGCCTTATTAATTATCAGCGCTGTTTTTTCAACATCTGATTGTGTACCTTAAAAAAAGCTTACGGAGTGAACAAAAAGAAGCATAGGAATAAATTTATGCCTATGCTTAAATTTATTAAAAAGTGACTTATGTTAAACCCTTCACAAACAGGAAGTTTGATATACAGCTACCTATCGACTGCAAGTTTTTTAACTCAGTTAGTTGCCATATAAAATCAATCTTTCGGAGCATATCACACTTAGGTTAGATAACTACACAATATTACTCAATAAATACGTCTCAGGCCCGTAGTAGAAAGTACATGTATTGCCATCCGTAAGCGTAGACAAGGACGCTAAACCAGTGCGCAGTAGTACCGATCCTTTCGAATTCACCACCATTTTAGGCTTTTTACTATCTCGATATAGGCTATCGATTGATGTAAGTTTGAAAGAAATCGGGGTTGGACAGCTGGGAATATTCACTTGTCAGGTAGAACAAGACAAGAAGCTTTGCTATATGAAAGAATAACGAAGATAACATCGCGTAATTTCTAAAATAATATTATCTGATTGAATAGAATGAATTGTGGAACTGCTCTGCTCTCTCTCTTCGACTACACCAAGCGGCGACATGAACTGAAACTGACACTCTGAGCTTGTTTTTTTTAAACAATCTCTGGTTCTTCAGCCAGACACTTCAGAAATAAATCTAAATCTTGCTTTATTTACCTCAACAGACGTCAGTTTCTTTTTTTCTTTTCGACCTCTACTAGTGCATTCATATGGCTAATCACAAATAAACTAGATTCCTCTATCCCTGATACTTCATAGAGGTTGCCTACACTATTTTTTCTCGCTCTGAGCGATCGGTTTCTTCCAGACAACGCGGTGGTGAATAATACCGTCTAGTTCCCATGCGGTTTACCGTGAGGTGCTATAAAATACCGCGGTATTTTAGACTACCAGCGGTATTTCAGATTACCGCCGGTGACCGCGCGGTATTGCTAAAAAAAGCTGGACATGGGAATGTCCTCGATATGACTCGATTCTTCCATTGATTTAACCTTTGCTATCTTGAACTTTTGCGTGACATGGGTAAAGAATACAAATACGATCAACATAACTTTGTAGCAATAGGTGAAAGGAAGAGAAAAGAACTTTATTTATTTAAATAGTACGTCTTGTTGATATTATGAATAAAAATAAGAGAATGAATTACTAAAATAAATTGTACAGTTAATGCAGCTATGTGGAATGACAACAGTTTCTTTTATGTTGTGACAATATTTCAATCTGTGATGGTCATTATCAAGTCAATACAAATAACTTTAACAGAAAATAAAAAATAAAAATGGAGAAAAGAAAACACTAGCATATTGGCTATATCACTGTCTAGCAGAAATTGAGTAGAGAGTCTTGACAATAGTACGCATAATTCTTAATAACTCTGACCCACACCTACTGCACTCTTTGGTAGCCGCCCACTATCTACGCCTCCAAGATAGACATACAATGGAACCGATCCGTCTGTACCATTTAACACCGAATCAATAGCTCTTATAGCTACCCAAGCGTCAAAAAAAAATCTAGTATCGCCCAATTTATCTAGATGAATAGATTTTTACTCAGTTGCAACTACTGTGTAACGACAGTGGAAATCTAGTAATTGGGCGATTACTAGATTTTTTCTAGTTGCAACTATCGATTTATCGCCCGATAATCGATCGATTTAACTGTTGCTAGATGCACCTGCAGATGCATCTAGTTAGAAGTCCCTTTTCCAACTAGTAATCTAGATGACAACTAGTCGGATATCGCCCGATTACAGACGAAATGTATCTAGATTTTTCTTATAGGTGATATTTGCTTGGGTAATGACTCGTTCAATAAAAGTCTGTACTTGTGTTTTTCAAGCAAAAGGACTCGAAAGTCTTCGGATCTAAATTTATGTCCTGTGTCTTTGAAATGTCTTCTAATAGCAGATTTTGATTCATATTTAACCCTAACTTTACATCATGTGTCAATTGTATCAATTAAGGTATCAAAATACATATCTTTCACTTTTGAGGACATGGTTCGTGCTTTTGCTCTTGTCGTAACACTGTGTAGAGAAATGTTTTGTATTTTGGTAGTTACTGATCTAGATGACAATTTAACAACTTTGTTTTTCGTCTTTTTGGGTTTCATTACCACTTTCTCCTGATCTTTCAAATGTTCAGTAGACGATATGTTGATGGTACATTTGTGTTATTAGAAAATTCAATTCCACCACCGAACACCTGTAATATACTATCGTCGTTACATCTATCTGTCATATTTACTTTCGAACAAGAGAATTAAAATAAAATAGCATTTTTAGATGTGATGATTACACGGAGAAATGATAAATTTTTAACAACAGTTTATCGAAAACCGACGTTTACTGGATTGCTTACACCGTGGGATTCTTTAGTTTCGGTTATGAATAAGAGATATGCGATTAGCATAATGGTTTATCGAACCATTAGAATTTGTGGTGGCTATTAGGTTTTACATGAAGAATTAGATTTTATTGGAAAACTCGCAAAACAAGACCGATATCCACTTTATTTCATTGATAAAATTATATGCAATTATGCCATTTTCACAAATCTTATCTAAGTCTCGCTGGCTACGAGAGAAATGTGATGTACGCCCAGTGTGTCCGTATTGGAAATTGTGCATCCTTTCTGGAAACTATGTAGTTAGTCACAGATCCATTTTATGTAGAATCAGATCTGAATTCTAAATTGCACATACTAGATCATTTTATTTTAGTTCATTTTTCACATTTGTCTTTCAAAATGACACTGGTCGAGTGGGAGTTAGATGTTTTTTCATCGTTGGAGGACGTTGTTACAGCTCCATTGTCCTATTCTTTCACATTTTTTATCTTTAAAGAACGTCAGTGGCAAGGTGGTTAGCAGACATGGTATGCTAGCGCCATCATTCTGCCTAGCTCTAGTAATGCATATCACTTAAGGGAACATTTACCTATCATGTAATCAAAACACTGCGCCGCAATCTGAGCGGGAACTTTTCCCCCTCAGATTGTGGTGCAGCATTTTGATTACGCCTTATGTAGATGTTCCCGAAGCAGAAAAACTTTTTTTTGTAACACACTCGATGTTATTGCTTCAATATCGATATTGGCGCATGCCTAACCAGAATTGTAACGATGATGTTGGTGTTTGAATTTGAATTATTATTATTTCTTGGATTGATGATGGGATATTGTATTGTTATCGATGATGATGAGAAAGAACCGCTCGACAACATGAACACTGCCGTCGATTCTGGTAGATTTTCATCATCATCATTAAAATAATCGTAAGAAAGTCGGTTACTCATTATCTACAACTGCTGAAAACAAAATAAAATGCTTTCTAATATAAGCCTTTTAAGTGGAACAAGACTGAGTTTTAAGTAACGACTTTTCTTTAGTTTTTGTAGTGACAGTTTAGGTGCACATTTAAACTTGCCCACTTTCGACAGCCTGGTACATAAAAACACGCTTATACCCTGAAAGACGTTGTGTTTGGTGTCTACATCTTATTTATACAACTCACTTTTCTTGTTTCAGATCTTATTTATATGTCTAAATATACTGTTCTCTTATACTATTTTAATATATGATCGAACGATTAATAACCAATTGTTATCAAAATTAAACGATATGTTGTTTTAAACTCTTGTAAAATCATTTCAAAATGATCTTTAAATCAATAAAACTGCCGATTTTACCAACCTTTTACTAACAGAGACAGATAATACTTACACGAGTCAGTCTGTTGTCACCTACCCGATCGAATATACTACCTTTTCGGGCAATTCACCTTGCCAAAACCTTGCCCGAACGGGTATGATTGCCCGTGCGGGCCAGGAAGCGTGACAACGAACTGCCAGTTGCTTTTGATGGCGTTCGAACCAGCTTCAAAGGTCTTGCTCATCGTTCTTCTAAAGCTTCTACGGTAGGGCGTACAGGAATAGAACGCGCTTCAGTAATCTGTCCAGTATCCTCAAATACATGTGTAACACGTCAGGTACGATATCTGTGTGCCTGAACTTCGAAAACTGATGTTAGTAACCTTAGAACAAATGCTGTTTTCAAAAAAGGACATTTTCAACTGTAATTGGATGCTCAATAGAAAAAAGCTGAAGATATATATTGTATAACGTTTTGTAGACGAACACCAATTTCTTATAATTTGTTTTGGCATGCAGCGTCGATCTGGTCGTACAAACCATCAAAGTAGTTTTTATTTAAATTTGAGTAAAAACGGTAGGACGTTCGGTAATCGTCGCCTTCAGAAGATGCCTGTCTCTTCTCGTCGTTGTCATCAATACTCCAACTGACGTTTAATATCGATATCACATAAAGTGCAGCACACCATCGGTAAACATATGAATGGTCGACGACATGATTCTGACGAAGGTCATGGTTGGTTTTTTCTCACTACTGGTGAATATGAGTATCTGATACAAAAAGGTGTGAGTATATTTAACTTTTTCTTTTTCAAATATAAATGTTAACTGCTGATGTCCTGTAACTTCTAGATAAATGTCGGTTATAATAATTTTGATGAATTAGTGAATAATATGAACGTCATTTTTAATTATAAATTATTGTGAGTATTAGAAAGTCATGATATACATTTAGCAAATCTTCGAGAACCAACATTCAGAATAACGGACGTAGACATACAGTAACGAACTATACAGCCGAAAACCATAAATGATATATCTATATCCCTCCTCGCTGTGTAGGCATACACACAAGATATTGTATTTCTTTCGTTTTACTACTCTCACACAGTAAGAAATATTTCAATTTCTATGTTTCGTACTTTTTGCAACGGAAGTTTACTAGCGTACGTTTTCTCTATTATAGCAAGATTAATGTGCTACACGGCACAGGAAAAAAAAAGAAATATAAATAATGACAACCAAAAGTTTTTGAAAAAATTTTATTGGACTCGAAATAGACTTAGAACTCGCGACTGCGTTTCAAAGACTCGCAGTCTGTTAGCTCGCTTCATGATTTGAACTCGGTACCCACCCCGGACTCCCCCAGCCTTACCAGGTGGATATGAGGCAGAAAACCTAAAAAGCACTTTTCCCGACTCGAATAGAGCAAAATATACTTCGATATATGACTATTAAATGCCAAACATTTTTGGCCCAAATAATAAAGTTCGTCAGAAAAAGCTTGATCAAAGTTTAGCCTAAACACGTAGGGGTCTGAGATAAAAGATATTTTATTGGCTCCAGCAGACTTTAAAGGCAAAATTGACGCAGAATCTGAATCTGAAGGTGGGAAAACCTAGTGGAGCTGAATTTTGAGGAAAATTCACCAATTCAGATATAAGTATACAAAAGTAAAATACCCCAGTCTCACTCAAAACTCCAAACCGCTTCGACCTCTGAGGATATGGTCAGAGGAGTAGATTGAACAGTTAGAATACCATAACTCTAAAATAATATATTCTCTTACGATAGATTTCTAGAAAACCTCTAAAAATCCCAATAATACGCAAAAAGTTGTTTTTACTTTTCTCAACTGTATCGACGTGTAAATCAAGGGAAAGCAGTAATGCTAGTCTCAGCAAAACTGATACCACGCTTAAAACTACAGAAACTAAAACCTACTGAGCAAGATATCATACGTAGCTTACTTTGTAGGAAAGTCGACGATCTTTAAAGTAGTATATGCAAGGGGGAAACACCGTACTCCGCCACTTCACGGAGTGAACTTTCACTCCGGTTCACTCCGGAGTGGACGGAGTGACAAGTGGTATACTCTCTTCTCTCGCATTTGATATAAGCTATTTGTTTAAAAAAAAATAAAAAAATCAGCAATTTATACTATCTCTACCCACCGGAATAGAGACAAGCCCCATTATTATCGGCGATAGAGAAAACAAGAGCTATGCATATTGTGATAACAATAGAAAGATCTAGTAAAAGAAGAAAGAAGAAAACAAGATCGCAGATGGAGAAAATAATGTTCACACACGTTTAGTAATATACATATATGTTCGCACATGGTTGTATGAAGATACAAAGAGAGAATAAAAAAAAATGAAAAAATGTAACTAATAATCCAGGTCTGTTTTCAGACCAGATAGCGAGAGAGAGAGAGGAAAGACAAGGAAAAGAGAAAGATAAACATACTATTGTTCTACATAAAAACGTTTTCAAGTACAAATATACTATATAAGTGCATGATATATACATAAAAAATCATCTTTCGAAAGCGTCACATTTAATAGAAGGAGGTCAAGACTGAGGGTAAGAATGTTTGTTATCGTTGAGTTTTTTTTTATGAGAGTTTTTCTTTGAGCGCGATATAACACGCAATCCAAAAGGTAATGCTGAACAGTCTCTACCTCGCCACATTTGCATGAACTTGTCAAAACCAATGATTTTTTCCGTAAATCAGCTTTCAAAACAGAAAAGTTAAGCCGAAGTCTAGTGTATAACACGTCGATAGCTCTCGGGATATTATGAACACGAAAAGTAGGAAAAGAACATCGGTAGTGGGTAAGAAGCTGTTTTTGGAAAGTTTTTGAAGACATGATATTTATATGTTGTGGTAGTTTTGATCAAACCTGGGTAGTAAATGGGAAGAAAGATCTATCCGCTGTCACTGCATTTGTTGATCGCCTTTCTTCTCAGAAATAGTATGTACAGCACTAATGAATGCTAACAATCTAAGTTCTTGAAGGAAGTGATAATCATAGTAGTTGAACAATAGTGACTTCCATTATATTGATTTTAAAAAATACAAAACACATACATAAAAAGAGAAAAACAGTCAAACACATACGTTGTTTATTCTTTTCTACTTGTTGCTATGACTCTTGATAACCGATCAGATGGTAAACGATTGTTATTTTGTGTTAATAACCAACAAGCAGTGATTTTATGTATATATTTATCTGCATTATTGATTTTTATCGTAAAGTATGAGTTTTCGGCACCGCGTGGGACAGATTCGACTATTCTCATACCTGAGAATGTTGTATTTCTTACTTGCGCAAAATGATCCAGTGGTATTTTGTCATCATCTTCACCCTCAGAAATATTTTCACTTTCATTATCCTCACCATAATAATCATTGTCTTCGTTTCCACTACTACTGCTTGTGTCTAATTCATTGTCAACGTCATCATCAATCATTGTGTTATCAGTTACATTGCTTGATGATCGTACACTATTCGATATATATGTGGACAACCGTTTTAATGTATAAATTTTATTTTGCTTTAATAATTTACACATTTTTAAATTATCAATCAATACTTTTGCTGTTTCATACGCACTTAAAATAATTTTTTCTACATCATCTGTTGTTACATTGTCGATATTATTATAATTGCTATTATTTAAATTTCGATTGTCTTTCAAATATTTGTGATGAATGGGAAATAATAAACGATTTGCGTTATTGTTGGCTGTTTCGAGACATTTAATTTTATTTAATATGGATAACTTTTGGGCACGCTTAAGAAAATCCTTAACTGTAAAATTAACTATTGTTGAATATACTTCACTCAATGACCGTGTATTTCGAAAAATGGACTCACAAGGCTGAGAACTGAATAGTGTTTACTGTGTCTTTCGGTATTTTGTTTTCTAACACTAACATAGTTATGTATAATAACTTATGACCATTAATCTCAATAGAATATTGCGCTGCATTGGTGATAAAGTGTTTTTCTATTGTTCGTTTATTAGTGGTATTGCAGTAGACATATGTTTGAGAAGCTTCTCAATCGCTCCTTTTGAAGCGTGGAAAATTCTCTATCTTTCTACATATGAGCCTTGGTCAAAGTCTTTGCAATTGTAAGAAAATTTGAGAAACAAAGTGGATGACCTTCCTTGAACTGGTGAGAAATAATTTTTTCAAGAAGATCAGGAGCAATTTTTGAAAGCCAGAAGTGTCTGGAAAAATAGGAGGCATTTGCGATCATTTTCACTCAAAATCATGTTGGGCCATTTTTCAGCAGAAACCGATATCTGTCCTTTAAACGACATTCATTGTGTTAGCAATAGCTTCTTCGTCTGATCAAGACATATGCCAAATTTTCTCTAATGTTGATGATCGATGTTCAGTTCTTCGTTGTTGCCGATAATTTGTTTGTATTGAGTTTTGATTTCGGTTGTCGACGAAACTCGATGTTCTAACACATCCGTCTTTATCTGTGGAACCGTCTTGCAACATTCTTGCAGAGATTGTGAAAAAATGTTACCAGAGAAACAGAGATAAGTTTAAAAGAAATTGAGGAGTTGCTACAAATGAATCAACTCTCTCATGAAATTTAGCAAAGGTACGAAATTGAACAATACAACTCAGTCGATAATACAAGGGAAACTTTTCGATCATTACCGAGTAGAAGCATGGAAAATCTCACCAAGACTATACGACTTTATTTTGCACACGTCCTTTAGACGATCAGTCTATGCAGTCAGATACAAAGAGACTAAAACAGAAACGCATAGAATACACAAATGAGTAAATAGTTGACTAGTTTGACGCGTATAACTTACAAGTCACAGTATGAAACGATGAAATCCATATATAAAATAAAATTGCCTAAATAACTAGAAATTGTCGCTTAGAATCAAGTATCTCTGGAAAATTATTGCCCAGTGCAAATCTTAGCGGATCTCATACAACAATAACAGAACATCGTTAAGAGAATAAACAATAAACTTCGTGTTAGCACTTTCTTTTCTACTACCGTAGCAGAAAAAACAATTCAATAAAACCTTCAAAATTTTATATAAAAATACTCAGAAGAGTCTGCTAAGCCTAGGACGACTTTTTTCCTGTACTAAGAACACGACGTACATGTGGAATATCCTGTCCTCATAAATCCAGTTTCATAAACCACACATTTATGAAACTTTTTACGAGTTTCATAAAATTTAGGAAACTTGGATGTTGATTTTTTTAACCCACAAGTTTCATAAAAAGCTTAGCATGGTTCTTAGAGAAAAATTTTCTTAATTAATCAGCAGATGTCTTCGAGAGACCCATGGTTGTTAATTAAATGGGTTTAATTGATGAATTAAGGTAACTGCAGATGTCTCTAAGAGGGTTGTTACAGTAGTATATTAGTATAAGTCTCATAGTGATATATATTGAACAGTAGACAGAAAGAAAGAATAAAGACTACACGACACACTGTATCTCTCTCTGTTGATGATTCATAATCAGCTGGTGCCAAAATAGAACTGCAAATTATTCTATATGTCTCTCAGTAAGTTATTCAAAGAATTCTAAAATGAAAATAGAAGTCAATATCTGTCACTGAGCTTCTTAATATCAACAGAATATGTCCCTGAGCAACGTATAGGTCTCTGAGAGGGTGATTTTTAGTCCTTTTAAAATAAAACAGAGTTTTTATTCAATTGATTTAGTTAGAACATGTCACTGAGCGATTCATAATTCACCAAGTTACACATATCTCTCCCGTTCAAAATACTGCTTCTTGTACGAGTAAGCATATGTCTCTGAGAGACTTACATCTCACTTAGAGACTTGTATATACAGTTTTAGAATAAAATTCCACATTTTTATTTGAATCAGTCTATGTCTCAAACTCATACCAGAGCCGATCACCTGCATGGTAAACTGCCTGCAAGCTGCAGGCAGTGCAGGCAGATTGCAGTTTGCAGGTGAATAAAAAAAATTTCCACTAACGGCCGCCAGATAAAGAAGAATGTTTTCCTGCCTGCACTCCCTGCAGGGAAAGACGTTTTTGTGTGGAGAATGAAAACAGAGAGGAGACGAAGATAAATACTGATCACACTGAAGGTCAGAATGATCTCTTAACGAAAAGAAACTAACTAACAGTTTTTTTTGTATATCTACTAGACACTTCAAGATGAAGGAGAGAAACGTTTTATCCGTAATCGCTTATATCATTTGATATGTCATTTTCCTCTAATATAATGGCATCTGTGTAGAATTCTTATTTCTCTTTCTTAAATGAATAAAGTTTAAATTAAACTAAACGAAAAATATAGAAGAAAGAAAAAGAATGAATTTCGTTCTTATTAGAGTTTTCTCTTTTAGCGTATCATGTTTTTCGTGATGTCGCATGTAGATATGTGTCAGACATGAGGATACATATAGAAAAGAAAAAGTGATCTGTATGCGACAACAAGAAAAAGATCGGGATACGCTAAAAGAGAAAACTCTGATGTTTCTTTTAGTATGCACACTAGGTAGACTATAGTATATAGAAGATGACAAAAGACTATAACGATAACAGAAAGAGAAAAATATAGAACAAGGATAGTGAATCGTAACTGGTGATACAGTCTATAATTATCAGTGTGTAATACAGACTGATAGTGGTCACTAGGAAAAAAAACTGTTATACTTCGCCTTAGGGTCCACCTGCAGGGCAGGGCAGTGCAGAAGTTTCCACCCTCAACCTTTGCCTGTGCAGAACAAAAGATTTTTTTGGTAACCTACAAACTGCAAGGCGGATAAATTTTATTTTGCCCCTGACCGCGCAGGGGTGAAAAATTATGCAGGTGATCAACTCTGACTCACACCTATCTTGATGAGATATTAGCACCTCTATTAGGTTGAGTCACTGCGTCTCTACGAGCCTCATATAGCACCTAGAGACACATTGATACTGTTTTTAATTAAATAAATCATTATTTTCAATTAAAACATCACAAACACACGTCTCTATGTGACATATACCAATTATATAATGTTATATGTCTCTAGGTAACATATTAATACTACAATTAATTAAGAAACTAATCAATTAAACCTGCAACAGCATAAATCACATCATAAAATTTAGCAAATTTGGATGTTGATTTTTTTAACCCACAAGTTACATAAAAATGAAAAATTTTATGAAACTTCTAAAAATTTTCATAAAATTTTGATTTATGAAACTGGATTTATGAAGACAGGATAATCCGTACAGTTTCAGTTCCTAAACAGAGCACGTCCATACAAATACATGGACTTTTTAAATAACGTCAACAAAAAAGATGTGGGCGCTACCCGAAGTACAAAATCAAGGCATATGTTCGTAACAAAATATGTTCAGAAAGTCAGGACTATAAGTACTGAAAAACCGAAGTATTAGAGATGAATTTTTTCTATACTTTTTGTCTTCTCTATTATTTCGCTGATTTTCCAAGTCGGTTATTCTGAGTACATCTGTTTTCTAAAGGCATAAAAATCGAATCTTGCTGTTTTCAGTTATTTCTAGGTTAAATTCATTAGCCCATTTCTGGCTAGAAACAACAGATTTCTACAGAATCTGGTGAATATTCCACTAATTTTTCATCGCCATAGATTACTCAAGATGTATTTCCGCTCTGATAACCTAGGTTGATGCTTTTGATCCCCTGCGGCTTGCAAAACCTATTGTTTCTAGCCAGGAATGAGAGATACTGAAAAATTCTTGGATTAACTTGGCTCATCAGAAAGATATTTCGAATCTCGTGGTTAACCTACAAATAACAGAAAATAGCAAGATTTGATTTTTATGCCGTTAGAAAACAGATGTACTCAGAATAACCGACTTGGAAAATCAGCGAAATAATAGAGAAGACAAAAGTATAGAAAAAATTCATCTGTAATAGTTCGGTTTTTCAGTACTTATAGTCCTGACTTTTCTGAACATATGTCTTGATTTTGTACTTCGGGTATAATTTATATTAAAAGGATTTTCTGTGAGAATTTAAAATTACTAATTGAACAATTTTACTCATCTATTGAACTTTTAACATTAGATTTAATTATATTTCAAATTATAAATGGCGGCAATATGCTAAATTTTGATTTATTTCCGAAATTAAAACAGTTAAAGTTCGTTGTTGAATGTCGAATTCTTTCCAAAAATGTAGATGTAAATCTTGGTAATTTAAATATGTTAATATCAACATTCAAACATACTATTTTATTATGTGTTTTAAAAGCGACTGTAGCTACACAATAGTAACAATAACCACTGTTCAAGTATTACGTCAGACTTTTTGTTTCATTTCTTTGCTCCTTGTAGCCTGTTGACCTTTCGCTATAAGCGGGAAAAAAAAACATAAATTTCGAACTAAAATTCGGTTTTTGATTTCTAAACTTAAATTTTCAAGCAAAATAAAGTTAATACACACGATCAGTATCAAAAACTGCATCTAACCATGCGCTGCTCAAATTTTGCAAATGCAAAATATACTATAATCATACAGATAACAATATAAACCTGGGGACGACTCATTTTAAAACATTAACTCTATTCTACGAGATGTATAATTTAGAAGAACTTTAAATTATGGTATCATCTTTTTTTTGTCGCGTTTAATGAGAACGTGTTCGTATTGAGAAGGAACGTTTCCTCTTTACTAAGAACGCATTTGAACGCTCCTGCTTTTTTATGCAACGCGTTCCTAGCAAAGAGGAAACGTTCCTTCTCAAGACAAACACGTTCTCATTAAATGCGTTCCTAATCGATAAGGCCCGTTTCTCAGAGAACGCGCTCAAACCCTTTCTATGACTGTGAGAATGCGTTCTTGAAAAAAACTCGAAATATGCCTTCAGAACACGTTCTAAAAGAATAGTAAAAGTGTGGCATGACGCGTTTTATTCTTTTAAAAAACGTTTTTATTAAGCGTTAAAACACGTTTTTGACCGTTCTGTTTCATTAACTTTTTTTCGCGGAAACGAGCTTGATCATAGAAAGTTAACTTTTGGGATGACGAAATGCATTAATTTATGTGCGTTTTTAACCTTTTAAAGTAAACAAATAACCTTCGAAAATTGTCCCATTGACGTGAAGGACAAAGATTTAGATAGAGCTGCTGTGAAAATGAATAAGGATTTGGAAAGCGTGTATAAATGATCAGTAGATTAGATAACTCCATTAACATAAAAAAATGTAGGTATGCTCTTTTCTCCCATCACTCTGGCTATACATTTAGCATCTTTGAAAATAAACAAAATTTCGTTAGACTATGTTCACTACAAAAAATTCAGAAGCCAGATAGGGTCAATTTACTTGATTCGGTAGGAAGAAGAATACTCCGCCTTGCGGCTACCTTGCGGTGTAGGGTGCTGTCAGAAGACAGTTTCATTAGCCCAATACTTTTTCCTACAGCTGATGATCTTGGAGGAAGTTCACACGTTCCTTTACTAATCACCACGTTGCAGCTCTGGACAGAAGGCTGGCCTGACTCAGAGTT